CCCCCGGTCCCCTGCGGCAGGGAGTCCCAGGGGGGAGGAAGGGCTTCCCTTGAGCCGCTCCAAGCCCGCCGCTCGCCGGTTTCCTTCCGCCGCGCCCAGGAGCTCGTGCCCTGTGAGGAAGGGAGGGAAGTGGGCTGGGGCGCCACCCTCAGCGGGCTGGCAGATGCCGGAGCCGGGGAAACCCCCGCGGGGTCGCCATCACTGAGTTAGTGTGAGCCAGCTCACGGTTTTTTAGCCTCCAGCTCACACCTTTTTGTCTTAGCTCAGGAAGGAGGGGGCTCCAGAGCAAATGAATTTATGCAGTAGCCAAATTGCTCGCTCACAACTTTAGTGCCAGCAGCTCACAAAGTGGAATTTTTGCTTTTGAACTGCTAGGGTGGCAGGAGCTGGGGCCAGAGACGGGAGCTCACTCCATCCTGCGGTACTGGGGTCTCGAACTGTTGAACTACGGACCTTCCGGTTTGCAGCTCAGCGTTTTAATCTCAGAGCCACCGCAGTTCTAGTCCTTTCATAAAAACACCCTCCTAAATGTTTGTTTTGCACATTGTGTGGAGTGCTGCTACTGCAGGAGCCTTCCTGACCTCAAGCAGACTGTGCCATAAGGCGGGAGTCGTCACAGAGAAGGCATGTGAACAGGCAGATGCTGATCTTACCCACTGGCAAAGTGGCACCTTCAGAAAGCTTTGCTCTGCTAGACTGTTGTGTCATCTTCTTGCAAATTAGAAACAAGGTGAAAATTGGTCACATTCTTCTCTAGTGATGGATTTCAAAGTAGATTGGATAACCACCTGTTTCCCATGACTGAGGGAAGGTGCCCTGAGTCTGATTTGTGATGGACATCACAACAGACTTATCAATACCATCCTTGAATGGTTTCAGTAATCAGGATGGACAATGATCCTGAGGGCTATTGGTGGCCTTCACATTTCCCAGGGTCCTGTTGACATCCACTGCAGTAACCAGAACAAAATGATTGACAAACTGACCAGACAGTGTACTGGGCATTTCTAGTGTCTCAGCTGTATTATAGCCAGCATCCAAATAGCAACATGTTCTAGATGTTTTGTCAGCACAAACAGTTTGCAACAGAAGCACTGCTAAACTTTCAGTTCTGGGGTAAAAAGAGTCCAGCCCCTCAGCCACTTCCTAGTGTGAGCTGCGTGCTAGAGATAACTCAGGCAGTAATAAGTGAGATGGGACCAGATCTCTGGCCATCAAGCCCTACTCACGTATGGGCACAGCTGTAATGCAATCAACACATTTTTATTAAACAGCATCATGAATACTCAAGTTAGTGAACGGGGTTGCCAGTTTTCCTATTCCAGTAAGATTCCTATGCCTTTGCGAGCAGTGCTGACAGATCAGAGAATCACAGATAAAGGTGTCCCAGTTATTGCAGGCCCCTGAGAGGGTCAAATGTTCTGATCAAACAATTGTCAAGCTGGGCTAGAACAAGAGATTCTATTTATGGTGGCAGCCCAAGAGGAGAGCTGCTGGATGTATGCCGGTCCCTGCAGCTGTTGGCTGTGTGGGCTCAGCAGATAGTTGGCACCCGACTAAACAAATTAGAAATTACGTCTGTATCAAAATTTAGATTTTTCATAATAAGCTAACATAAAGAATAATAATTATATACATATATATCAGAAGGTGTCTTACGTATTTTGTCTTATAAAAATTAGTACAGGAATTCCCATTCTTTGCAAAAACAGGTTTTATCTGTCTTGAATCAACTCACGCAATTCTGATTGTTCAATTCTCTGCCATGCTATCTTCATCCAAAATTTAGCAAATTTAGAGGTGGTTTATTCCTGTCCATTTGTGGCAGGCATAATTTGACAGAAAATAAAGCTAAGAGTTGCAAAGTTGACCCCCTAGCTTCATGAGAATTGTGGGAGTTGCAGTGCCAACAATGAAGGGAATCAGAACATCCTGGTCCAGATTATGTCCAGAATACACACACACACCCCGCCGTGCTATTTGCTATGGAAGCAAAAGTTTACTCATGAGAAGCCAGGAATGTAGAGGCTAAGGCTGACAGGCTTTCAGCTCCTGCCAGCAACCCTTGTGGGAGAAAAAAAGCCTGGCAATGCCATGTGCAGTCATGTCATGTCACTCTAGGAATCTCTGGAAACTGTATGGTTTTACCGTAGAGTTTCTGGTGGTTCCTAGAGAAATGTGACATCAGGTTTGTTTTTTCTTGAAAGTGACATCCACATGCTTCAGAATGTGATGCTGGTGTCTGCTAGGGATGCCAACCTCCAGGTGGTGGGTGGAGATCTCCTGGGATTACAGCTGATCTCCAGGTGACAGAGGTCCGTTCACCTGGAGAAAATGGCAGCTTTGGAAGGTGGACTCTGTGGCATTGTGCCCCACTGAGGAGTCCGATTCTCCAGGCATTCAAATAAATCCACGTTTGTAGCAAAGTAGCATTTATTAAAGCGATGGTGAAAACAGGAACACAAGGATTGTTAAGAATGGAGACTACCTCTGGGGTACAAGATAATAAAATCATTCAAACCAGGCCGTGGCCAATGGGTCCTTTTCCCGCGTGCGGGAAAGCAGGTAAAACAGGCGCCCAAA